GGTCACATACATTTAGCTATTTTTATATTTCTCTCGTATCATATGGATTAAAGCTTTGAATTGTCTGCTTTTTACCATTGCATGTTTCCACGTGTTCCATTCTTCTTTCGTTTTTTTTTTTTTGCGTCGAGTAGAATAGTATTATGATTGTATATATATGTTCTAGATGTGCAAACTTATTCGTATCGGTTTCTTACAAATGCTTGAAACTGAAAGAGAGAAAACACAACATTTTAGGTGGGAACTTAGTGTTTTAATCGAACTTTTACGCAGTTAATTAAGGGAGTTTGGTATAACAGTATGGTTTGTGATTTTGTTCTACATGTGTGAAAATTTATCTACGCAATTTTCATCTAATCACTTCTGCTTATTTTCATATAATTCGGGGAGAGAGAACACAAAACAATCAAACATGTTAGGTTGTAAGAACCCAGTGATAAGCTTTTGATGGTTTGGTTGAACATGTGTTTGATATGAAGGATTGGCGAAACGAATTGTTTATATGGTCCTTCAAAGTGGGCCCCTTGGTATACTTAGGAGTAAATTAAAAGGCATGCATTTTTCGTGTATATTGTTAATTTTAATTTTGTTTTTTCTATTGACATTAATCATATTATGGTATATCATATGTAATAAATTAAATTGAGTTGGCAAACTGACGCCTAACCACCCGAAACTCAATTAATTTCTTTTACATCTAAAGTTTAAAAAACCTATCGATAGATTTGCTATTATAGTTTCGCAATATCTGTTTGGTATATAAATCGGTTTATTAGTCTGTAATCCATACAAGTACTGTCATTAGTCTATTAGGAGGGTGGGCCCACTAGCTAAAGTCTATGAGTTATATTGTCTCATTTGCGTGTCATGTAAATATAGTAATCTACTATAAACATTTGATCGGGCAAATTAATAGTTCTTTTTTTTTTTTTTGAAACTTAAGGGGAAGTTAATAGTTACCCAGAGATTTTAATTGAAGAAGACTATGTGAATATCCACGTATACGCGCGGATTATTTAACATAAATTTTAAGTATATAAAAAAACTAATTGATTTTTAGGTCATGATCTAAAAAAATAAAATTAGATAACTCACATTTTATTTAGTCGGCGTGATTTTATTTAGAAATACATATTGGTGAATAATTTTTAAATATATGGAACATAAATGAGAATTCAGAAAAAAAGAAAAAGTATATATAAAACTATAACTATGTTTGATATATAATAATATTAGAATATGTTCGCGCGGTGTGTGAGTTTTTGTTTCACAATTTTATTAAAGTTATTTAACTAACCAAAAATAAAATATATTATATTTATTTGAAAAATCTAATATATACATAATTATATATGTTTTATGTATGTTTTTAATTAAGTTATGATATTATTTTTAATGTATTAATATTTTATCATTAAAAATTAACTCTTTTACGTTTTGTTTATATTAATATTTTTGTCTTATTTAACATATATTATATTTTTTATGTTGATGTAAATTTCATTATTTATTTTTATATTATTTTCTTAAACTATATATATTTTCACTAAAAAAAAAGATTATGAAGGATTTTCACTTGTTTAGGAAAGCCTTCCTAAACACCTTCCTAAACAAGTAGAAAACTTTCTTAAAAATCAGTTTATGAAGAAATTTCATTTGTTTAGGAAGGCCTTCCTAAACATCTTTTTAAACAAGTAAGAATTTTTCTTGAAAAATTATAGGAAGGATTTTCACTTATTTAGGAAGATATTACTAAACAAGTAGAAAACCTTTTTAAAAATAAATTTAGGAAGGATTTTCACTTGTTTATGAAGGATTTCCACTTGTTTAGGAAGATCTTCCTAAATACCTTCTTAAACGAGTAAGAAACCTTCTTAAAAAAAATTTAGGAAAGATTTTCACTTGTTTAGGAATGTCTTCATAAAAACTTGTCTAAATAAATAGGAAACCTTCCTAAAAATAAGTTTAGGAATAATCTTCACTTGTTTAGGATGACATTCCTAAACACATTCCTAAACAAGTAAGAAATTTTCTTAAAAAAAAAAACTTAGGAAAAATCTTCACTTGTTTAGGAAGACCTTCATAAATACATTCCTAAACAAGTTGGAAACCTTCCTAGAAATAAGTTTAGGAAAGATTTTCACTTGTTTAGGAAGACCTTCCTAAACACATTCTTAAACAAGTAGGAAACCTTCCTAAAAATAAGTTTAGGAAGAATTTTCACTTGTTTAGGATGATATTACTAAACAAGTAGGAAACATTCGTAAGAATAAATTTAGGAAAGATTTTCACTTGTTTAGGAAGGTCTTCCTAAACACCTTCCTAAACAAGTAGGAAACCTTGTTAAAAATAAGTTTCATCTTATTATCTCATCTTTAGTAAAATGGTTCAATATTCTTTTAATAAAATAATATATATTCTTTCTCTTTAATCAACAACCTCTTAACAACCAATATTATTTAATTTTTTTATATCTTTATATTTTTATTCATTTGTTCTTATATGTATATTCATTTTACATATATTCAATCTTTAAAATTAAATATATGAAATTTTATCGTTATCCTAAACTCATAATCAAATATACTTATTGATGTAATTTTAAATATTCAAATAGTTTTATATGTACTACTTTTAGTAATTTGTTGACTTATTTTCGTTTTTATTTAATTAAAAATTTTAGAAAATATAAGTGACAATAAATATACATAAACAT